TTGAAGAAAACACTGTTCACTTTCCTATTTATCATCTACGGCTACTTCTTACAACACCTGTATGTAGGTCGACCCTGCCGTGTCTGTGTTCGTGGATGTACAAAATACCCTTATCGCCCCTCTACTAATGCAACTTGGATCAGAAGAGCAGAAGGAAAAGTATCTACCAAAGATCGTCTCTGAGTGGGTAAGGTTGTACTTCGATTACTACCCAATTTTCCTGCATAGCAAGTTGTATCTGATCTCTTGGTTAACATTCTCGAATAAATGCCGATTTGTTTGAACTCCTATTCCTTAACCCGATTGGGTATCTTTATAGGTCGGTTCATTTTGCCTTTCCGAACCTTCTTCCGGATCTGATGCCTTTGCTCTGAAAACTGTGGCTAAAGCAGACGGGAATGACTTCATCATTAATGGATCCAAGATGTGGATCACCAATGCTGGACATGCTAGCTTTTTCTTGGTTTGTTTTTTTCTCAAAATGATTGTTTACCCTGATTTGACCTGGCCGGCGACGAAACCTAATCTCTCATCTCACACTCTTACGGTTGTGCATGCCATTGCCTGGTTTTATTATGCACCCATGCAGCTTCCTGTAGGAGTAGAAATCTGGATCTCTTTGTAGGGTAACCAATGATAAAGATGTTGACCCATGTTTATATGTGGAATATAGGCTATTAGAGGGGGATCACTTTAGTTCCTTTTTTTTAAGATCCTGTTTACGATTAGTGGTTTGCCAGGTTTTCCCTTAGAATTCATTTGCCCCCAAATAGGCTATGTAAGGCTTGTCAGGTCAAAATCTCCCCAGACAGAGCGCAATTGAGGCTCGAATATTTATTTTATGTAACACCTTCTGATACCTCAGAACTACATCTGATGTTTACATGGCTGAACTGTTTAGGTATTTGCTAACGCTGAGCCATCCAAGGGTTACAAAGGCATTACCTGTTTTCTAGTAGACAGAAATCAGGAAGGAGTTACGGTGGCAAAGAAAGAAGATAAATTGGGAATACGTGCTTCATCCACTTGCTCGATCTTCTTCGAGAATGTCAGAGTGCCGAAAACTGCTATACTTGGTGAATATGGTAAAGGTACGTTTGTCTTTTGTTCTCGGATTTTCTATGATTGTTTCAATTTTGACTGTAACGCATACTGCGAACTACCGCTGTCTGGAACTGTTCTAATCATATTCTTTGGACAAGATCTAAGTAAACTATGCTTACCCACAGAAAACGTTAAAAAAACCGTGTCACTCGTGGTCCATTGATCTTCTGATTACTTTTACCTTTCTTTGTTATTATTTTGGTATCTTCCATTGTAGTAGTATCTTTTAATCTGCTCAAATTAATTATAATTCATGTAAAAATGAGCGAACTCCCATCATGCTTCTTCCAGTTTCCATTTTTAGGGTATAAGTATGCAATTGAATGTCTGAATGCTGGTCGAATTGGTATTGGTGCACAAATGATTGGCTTGGCTCAGGGCTGCTTTGATGCCACGATACCGTATTTGCAAGAACGAAAGCAGTTCAACTCACGCTTGATCGATTTCCAGGTGATACCTATTCCCTTTGAGAGTAATCTGTTCTCTTGGATGATTGTTTACCGTACTCTAAGAGACGGTCGAAAGTGATGTAAAGGCAAGGGCGCATTACCTAACACGCATGTTCATTGGTTCGAATCCCTGATGTCCTCCTAAGATAACCAAGCCTTCCATACCTCCGGGGTCGATTAATTGGTGCCAGATCGTGTGGGAGGATGTAATCACTGACACTGCAAGTCATTCATTGTATAGGCCACATACGCATTCATTACGCCACTACGGTTCTGAAGGAATGTCGAATGCGTGAGCTCATCCCTCACCAAAGACTTTATCTTTTATACTGTTCTGTAGAAGACGTGTTCGGTGTCTAGTTCATAAGCGAAAAATGCAAAAGTAGAGTCCTAGTGATGATTACCCATCGACGAAAGCTAAAATGTGAGCTAAAACGTGAAGGAGCTACCAAAACTAGCGGAGTCGGGCTCTCATTCCTATCATTGTTGGTAGATTGCAACGTCCAAATTGATCTCTGTAGTTTTTTGGAGAGGATGTATACCGACGGCGCAGTGCAAGGGGTTGCAGATGACACGACAACGTGCCTGATCGGCTATTCAGGACTGTGCCTGCTTGATTGGCTCTCCGCGTTCCTGATTTCAGAGAACTACCTATATTGGGCGATGGCCTCGTTTAAGATATCACCTTCTTCAAGTGCGTTATTTTACTACCTCTTTTTGGGTTACGGAAGTAGGGGACTTCCAGGAAAGAACACAGAGCTTCTTTCAACCCGCCCGAGATAACTTATATATCTTCACAGGATTATCACAAAATATGATATTCCGAACGGCTGTCCCACTGTGTCTCGGAGTGCCCTGATATTCTTTTGCGGAAAATTACCGAGGCACTTTGAGAACCAGTGAGAATGCCGTTCGAGATTTCATATTCTATGATAATCCTATGAAGATCCTTTGTGTGGCGCTGTAGAATGCAAACAGTTTCACTGAGCTTAGGTTTTGTCTAACTTCTCCATGCTCCTGAAATACCTGGTAGTGTGACAAAGTTTCGGCACGATCAACGCTCCCTACTGTGATGACGAGATGACCTAAGCCGCCGCTCTCCCTGCTTCTAGTAATTATTAAGATCCCAAGCTGCCAGAGCAGAGAATTAAGCCAAACCGTTGTTGTCTTCATCGCCCTCTTTCGTCATATTTACATCTTTTCTATCAGCTTTTAGGGTATGCAACATCAAGTTTCCCAAGTCGCTGTAGAGATTGAGGCAGCCCGATTGTTGGTCTATAACGCAGCAAGGATGAAGGTAGGTGAATAATAGAGCTGTGGCCCTGGCTAACCGAGAGTATCTATAACACCCTTAAGCTTTTTAGGATAATAACATCCCGTTCGTGAAGCAGGCTGCTATGGCAAAATTATATTCGTCTCAGGTATGTCGTCGTCATGTAAATGTGTATTCTGAATTCACTTTGACCCCTTTCAGGTAGCATCTTCTGCTTCGTCGAAGTGTGTGGAATGGCTTGGTGGGGTAGGATTTACAAAAGAATATCCCGTGGAAAAATACTACAGGGATGCTAAAATTGGTATGTTCAACCATGCCTCTCCACCGATTTAAATTCTAAGATAAATTTTGTGCTTTTGAGGGATTTACAATTACCACTGCCTTCTCATAAGCTGTTTTATAGGTACTATATACGAGGGGACGTCAAATATTCAACTGAACACAATTGCAAAGTTGATTGATGCAGAATATCAGCACCATAGCTGAATATCATGCTCGTCTTCTGCTCGTCTTGAGGTGGCATATCACAACTTGTACTGATAGACCTGGATTACTGTAGATGTTATGTCACTGTAGAGTTTGTTGTAAGAGGACTCTGTGTTATTTTTGTTATCAGCAATTGATGGGTGGCCTGAAAGAGTTCTATATCATGTACCAAAATGAACAGTATGTTGATGTGTTGTTAAATTTTATTACCAAATTGAATTATAGATATATGAAAGATAAATATTTCCTGAGGCCGTTGTGGTGTGGCAGATCCCTACGATACACACATAGTCAAGGATCGAATCCTGGGTCGATACTCACCCAAGCCCAACAAAGCCTTCTATCTCTCTAGGGTGGTAGATGGGTATCAGGGGGACTTGTTCGGGGATAAAAGCGCTTATTTGTCCATCGCCTTATCACCGCAAGTCTTTGCATAGGCTACATGCGCATTCGGAATGCCGTAGTGATTCTGGAGAGAAGTCCAGTGCGGGGCATATTCTTAAGTAAGAGATTAATCGCATTTGTTTTACAACAGAGTGGAACCCTATTCAAACGAATTTAAGCGAAGCGCTTCTGTCTACCCGTATCCCAACAGTTTTCAGCCCTTCAACGAGCTCTTTACTAGGTATTTGAATGCTCGGTGCTTAATTTACTTGAGAACGAGTCCTGCCTATCCTTTTCGCGCGGGGTTGCGCGCTTTGGGTAAAACAGGTTCCAACGGAAATGATTTCGATAGTCACTGATTGACAGTTCAGGCACAGAACCTGGTAGTAGGCAATTTATCGACTCAGCTTCATTGACGATTGAGGGGCAGACACGAGAATATGCCACGAGAAATGCCTTCGTCAGTACGATATATTCTTTTCTATATTCTGAATTCGAGTTCTCGCTCATAATGACTCCATAGCTGACCCGAATTCTAGAACGAAAGAAGGGAAGGTTCAGTGCGCTTTGTTACCATTGTCAATGAACCTAATTGTAAGTCGAGTACGGATAAATTGGTGCGTCCGGAGGTGCACGCGGCAATCGCGCGGGGAAATTCGTTGCGATTTGAGCTACCCCGACTTATCATCCGGTCGTAAAGCATGTGCAGGAAACAGCGATGAATCCCAAAGTCGAGCACATCAATTTGGTCAATTTGAGAAAATCTTGTGAGTGTTCATTAGCCGCGCAGTCGCCTGCACCAATGTTCCGTCCCCTGAGGTCGGCGACACCGGCCGTAAGTCAGCTGCGAATACCGTAACCGGTGCGAATCTTATGACCTTTCCAGTTCCCTGGACAGAGACCAACTGCTAGCAAACGGCCCATTAGCTTTTCATGAAGTCTGATCTTTACAACTTCCGCGTACGGCTTTCTATGAACCTCGGCAAAAAGCTTGTATACAAACCTTGTGAAGAGTTAAAGAAAACAATTTAGTAACAGATCTGATCTTTGCGTTGGCGAATTGTTGCTTATGAAACACGACAGCTTGTTGGATGAAAAACAGTAGGATCTTTTTTTCGTAACAGAAGTGACCTCATTTCGTGAAATGAGTCACACATGTTCGACTTACAGCCTTACATTTCCAATAAAAAAAAAGACTCTCATTCAAACTGTTCTTCTGAGACGTGGATTACCATTGCTTTTTGGTTCCGGAATTTTCGTTACCATCATTTGCTATACGAGTGAAGTGATCGTTTTCACCATACTTCTAACCAAATTCTTATTCATCTTATGCCTGCAGTCTGTTACGACATCCCACGGCAAAAAACGGGGACTATTAAATGACTCTGAACTGGTCGAATGACGTGTACTGGTAGCACAAATGTTGCAAGAGTTGGTTTTCGAGGTACTGAAATGGCCCCAAAAAGATATAGACTTCTTATGTCAGTACTGGCACTGATAATTTTCTGTTTACCGTTCGGTCACAGAAATTCAGAGCTCTTAGACAAGTCTCGACACCAAAAAACCATCTTGAAACGATCACCTGCCGTGCTCGTCGCAAACCCCATAGACATTCGTTAATTGTCGGCGTCTGGGTTCTCCTCCGTACGGATGCTCTTCTCATAATGGCCTGACTCATCCAGAAATTTCGTCGTTGCACGATCAGTAGTGTCATTGTCAGTCAGCCGTTCAGGACATGTCCGTCTCGTTTTCGCTGCTCCTGGATTTCTATACTTGCTGATTTCCTGTCTGGATGTGTGTCATAAGGTTCTTTCCAGGCGAAACTAAGTTGTCTGACGATGTTTTTAAGATGTTGTACGAGTTTGGTGTTCTGAATATACCGTAAGAACCGCTTACGATGAATACGACAGGCACGCATTGGCTGTGCTCGTGTGACAATAGAAAGGGCAAAATCCCAGAACAGTTTCGAAGTATCTCAAGAAGTTTGGCGTAGGCTAATTACTGTAATGGGAACAGTACGATCGCTGATACCAACACAAATTAGCTTCTTAGAGTCGGTCGGTGTTGTTGTTGCAACAACAACATGCTTTCTTGCAGTTGTTTTTCCATTATTCTGCAAATTTTACTTAATATTTTACGGCTAATAACACTAGAAAGTATTTATAGGGCATTCATAGCTTTTACGGTAAAGATAGGTAGCCGTTTTAATTTTTTATTTGTTCTGCAATAGGAAGCCGAGTTTTTTGGCTACTTACACACTATTTTGTTGTTATGTGACGATGACAAAGGGGGACCATACCATTGACTTTCTGCTATTCGGTAGGATGGCGAGAAACCGGTGTAATGCCCGTTTTGAAGAGCAACTAGGATGAATGACTCATCTATCGTCATTAACACCGTAAAAGTAGTTGGTTTCTGCTAAACTCACACTTTCTGACGTGGCCCGTTCAGAATGTTTCATGTGACCCTAGTAGGCGTAAACAATGGTAACTCGGGGAACTTTGTTCTTATCGTCGGTGGAGCTAGGTCCCGCCGCATTCGTCGCGCTCGGCGCAGCCCTTCGCGATTCCGAGGTGAGCACGTTTTCAACCGTGCAGGGTTTTTGCGGTTTGAACTATTACACCGCTGGCGGATACTCGAATGCAGCTTGGAACGCGACCATTGTGAAATGAGTGAGACCTCCTCTGCTTGAGAGGAAAATCTGTTGAAGAAGAAGTAAAATTAGGTGGAGTAGTTCGTGTCGAGTTTTTCTTCAAGTAAAAAACAGAGAATTCAGAAATTGTGGCAGTGAGCTGGAGAAAATCTACTACTGAAAACGTGCAAAATCGCTGCAGCACAGATGTTGCCGTCAAATGTCAGTGCGCGAACCTCAGAACCCTTGCACGGTTCGAATGTGTCCATCTCGAAATCGCAATGGGCTGCGTAGCCTGCGAGGGGTGCCTGAGACATGACGATCTAGGAGTTGCCGAATTCGAGAGGAGATGTTGTAATGCGCAGGACTTGTTGGTGTGCTGGTGTTGCTGCGCTTGCGAATCTCTTTTGCGGAAATCTTAGGCTTCTACGGACTCCCTAACCAGTATTTTCTGTTGTATTTTTGAATCTCGTTAGCTGTTATTTGTATTCTCGATCCCTACTCTTGGACTCCTATTCTTAATCATGGAAGTGGTCACCCTGAAATTACTTCTGATTGCTTAGCTTTTGTAGAGCGACTCTGTAATTTTTTGAATTTTTGACTGATGATCTTCTTGTCAGCCTTCCGATCTTTAATGATCTCATTACCTGGATTTCCAGCTGAATCCTTGACTAACTAATACCTGTTTCCCAAGGAAACCATGGATCTTTGGCCTCGCTCATTCAATCGTATGATGCACGACTACATGAGGGAATTCGATCGTCTCGAAAAAAGCCTCTATCCATACTGGAGAGATGCTGATCATTCAGTTCTTCATGTGGCCAACGAGACTCAAAAGGTTCAGCGATGGCCAGACTTCACTGATTTTGCAGCTATCTTTGGTTATGAGAATGCAGGAGAACATATTTCAAACTCTTTACAAGTTTTTTTTTTATCAATTATTGTTCAGGTTGTCGACGACGACCAAAAATTCGCCGTTGCGGTCGATGTGTCTCAATTCCATCCTGAAGAATTGAAGGTACATTTGGAAGGACGCGAATTGACTATCGAGGGGAAGCAGCAGCACAAAAGCGACAACAGTTTTATGGAAAGGTGAGGTGCCATCGTCGAGTGGTGTAATCGGACTTTATTTTTATTTCCATCCGATTGATACGAGTCAGCAACAAATCAGTTTATTTATTACGTTCTTTTTAATACGAACCAACAAGCACTCGATATAACCAGAAGGTATTAAAAAGAAAAGAAGAGCAACCTTTCCCCATATCGTATATTATCTCATATCTAACTGATCGGGGCCGATTATTGATACGTAATAGATATGAGCTTGCCCTATCCCGAAGTGTCGAGTATCCCGCCTCTATACTCCTTGTAAACGGCTCGCATAATCGAGTAGGTGGTACTTGCAGGTGAGAACTCCGTTGACCGACTATTCACTACAGTGCTTACAGTTGGGATCTTAAAGGCACAGTTCACGATGATTTTGGGTAACCCAGGTTATGACGAAAAATGGAAGATCAGATGGAAAATAGTGCAATGGAAGAGAACTAAGGAACTGCGTGGATCGGTGTTTCCAATGTGAGAAAAATGCTTCTGAAAACCGTTAAAAAGGACGAGAATGAGACCAGAGGAATGAAGAAGAGTGGGGCTTTCGGACGAGCTACGCCCAGTGCGTCATCGCGTACGTGTGGGTCCTGGTGCAAACAACTGACTACGGTAAGCAAAAATTCATTCACTTATAAGCATAAGTAAGCAAAAAANAAAAAACCTAGTTGCAGCAAAAATGGCTCATCTTTCTCGGCCTCTTGAGGTAGGAAATTAAAAAATGGATCGCGGCAGCGAAAAGAATAACAGAGGAAAAAAGTATGGCAGAAAAGCATCGCCTCATAACTCGGCGATCAGCTGATTGCGTGTGGATCCTAGAACGAATATTCGCAATCTGTATTGCCTCGACACTCATCTGACTTGACGTCGACCGATAGGCGGGAAAGCCACTTACGGCAGCAGCAGGGCTTCCACTATGCCTTACGCGTCGAGATTGTGGGAGCAAGAGGGTCCCTTCTTCTACCCATGGGGGTCACTGAGTATTCCTGAGGGAACCGCGCCTTTGACGCGAAATGATAGGGATGCATAATGGGTGGCTCCGACTATACTTTCACAGGTCACCAGTTTCACCGTTTGATAGAGCTGTGCAGGAGCGGCAGCGTGTGGGCGCGTTGCTGCCTCGAACGAACCACATTCAGATCCGTTGTTCATCAGTCTATGAACATTAGGACCAAATGTGGCTATCTTTGCCGGTATTGTAAATTCTTTTGAGTCCAAATTGATCGCCTGACTCAGTAGCAGTTTAAATTGGGCTTCGGCCAACCTACTGTATCACTTCGATTCAGATCCTTCATACGCAAATGGACTCTGCCGGAAAATGTGGATCTTGAGGCTATTCGTACTCAACTTAATGACTCTGGACACCTATCCGTGGAGGCGCCGAAGACGACGGAGGGTGGAGCCCAGCGCCGTACGCTTCCAATTGAAAGAGCTCCGGCTAAACAGTAAGAGTTCTTTTCGTCGACGGGCTTTGTCCAAGTCCCAAAATTTCTGAACCACTGCAGTACTATTGCGACGTTTGGGACAAGCGCTGATTTGTATTAGTATGTTTTCATGTAATAATTTTTCGCAATAGTAGCTTCGGTATATTCTACTTCTTCTGTTCCAGTAAAGTTTTCTTTTCGAGAAATTGCTCATTCTGCAGCAGCACGTCACTATTTCACTGAATGAGGAACCGGTTTCTCGTAATTTAATACAGTAAACTCCATATATTACAGAAATAAATTTTATTTCTGTAATGGTATACAGCTGGTAAACGGCATGCGGTAAAGTCGGCGACGTGCTTTGCATTGTTTATGATTCATTCAAATCCCATTCAACTATTGGGGATAGTTCCAGTATCTCTTGTGGCCGTTCGATCGTAGCATCTAGAAAGGGATGAAGACAACAAGTAGTTAATTGAACCATATCCGATCTGCCGATAGCAAGCAGTCGCTACACTTCCAGCCACTATTCTACCTGTTTGGCAATATTACCCACGTCGATTTGCGTCTGAGCACGTCTGCGAACAAAACAGTGTTAGTTAACATTAATTAAACACATGGCAGTATTTATATAATTATACACTAATACTGACCCATCAAGTATTTATGAGTTGTCTATAATGCTTCGTAACACCTGTGAACACTGCCTATAAAAAGCAAGCTACAGTAGTATGAGCACCAAGCACGTGCAACCAATAATTTAACAATCTCAAGAAACCCGAATCCCACTGCTTCTCAGTCTCGGTGGTTGAAATCCGATGTGGGACTCGTTCGGTGACTTCTCACCTTCGAGGACTTTCGCCAACTTTGACGTTTTATGGGAAGAAGGCAGCTGTCGGGAAAGGATGAGCGACCGTCCAGATCGACGTTATCCGGTCATAACACAAGTCGAACAAAGGACCTAAAGTCACGAATTGCAACATTAATTTAAGGTTTTTCTTCTGCTCCTCTCGAGGACGAACGACGACACCTAGGCTCTGATCTTATATTCACCTCGACACTGCAAATGCTAAAGGTAAGCTATTAAGGATTGCCTCCATTGGCGTAAGGACTTGTAATACCTAGTGATCTATCCTCTATCTACTATCCACTACTATATATATATGTATATATATAGGGGTGCTCAAAAAAAGAGACTATGCATGGGGCCTAATCCAGGGCGGAATACGTTGCACCGATTTAAGCAGCAGAAGAATGTGTTTGGGTAAATTGTACTAAGGATGTTGCTTGATGAAAGGGAGCAGGAACTCATGTGGTTCCTATATCGGCATCAAAATATGAAGCCGCCTCTCAAGGCGACTTATAGGATATCGGCCATCAACAAGCAGATACGTAAAGCTTTCTCAATCGAGTCGCTCACGGACAGATTTCTAGGCATCGTCGCTTAGGATCTGGAAGACCACTGACTTCCTGTAGCCCCGACAACTCTGCATGGTCTGCGATGTCGTGGAAGACGAGCCGACCGTTCCAGTAACCGTGATCGCCAAGCGCACCGAGATTTTGCGAACGTCGGTTCAACGCATTCTGAAGAAAGGAGGATTCAAACTGGTGTCCAAGCTCAGCTCCTCGGTGTCTGTGGCTTATTTGATAGTCACTCTTCAGGTAAGGGTCCACTGCGTTAACGGGAAGCAGCAAAAGAATCGCGCGGAATGCTGCCAGCGCCTGCTGCCGAAACTCGGCGACGAATTTGTGAAGCGGATCATTTTCAGCGGTGAGAAGCTCTTCTTGATCTCTCCGTCAAGGGACAGTAATAAGGGACGCATATGGACCACCCTGAGAAAAAAAGAGCTCAGCCCGAGCGTGCTGCAATCACCACGCTCCACCAGCCAGCGTGGCCTGATGGTGTGGGCAGGAGTCTCGTGGAACGGTAAGACGGAGCTGCTGTTCGTGGAGCCTGGGTTGAAGATTAATGCCGAGTACTACGTCCAGCAGCTCAGAGAAGACATTCTGCCGTCATGTAGCCGCCTTTACCATGACGGAAGCTTTGTGCTACAACAGGACTGGGCACCGTCCCATGCATCTAGGAAAACTCGCCTTTTTGGATTCAGTGGGCGTCGAATATCTCAAGAAAACAGAATATCCGAGTGCGGCGTCGAATATCTTAAGAAGACAGAATATCCGAGTGCATCTCCTGATCTCGACCCGCTTGATTGCAGAGTGNGGGCTGAACTCAACAGGACTGTCTGCGATGGTCAAGAAGTTGCCGATCTCGCCGACTTCAAACGACGCATCAAATTTGCGTGGCACAAACTTTCGACTTCGTTCGTGCGGAAGGCCATTGAAGAATTCCGTGATCGAGTACAATGTGTTGTTGCGGAAAGGAAACCAACTGTTCACTTTTGTGCAGTTTGATATTTTTTAACGCTTCGATGCAAACATTTTGTTTAACAAAGTTATTTGCACAAAGTATTGAAGAATGATTGAAGTATAATAAAGGGACATTTCATTGAAGCAGTGCCGTAATTAACGCAATTCAAGTTTTCCGGAGGCCATCATATGGAACTGGAATGTATAATTGCCTGAACCATACTGCTGAAAAATATTCTCATTGGAGGAATTACCAAGCAAGTATATCCCACTTCTCTCGCTCTTCAAACGAACAAAGAGAGGGAAAGACGAAGGAATCCTCGTTGTGCAATAATTTTTCTTCCATCACTTCCTGTTTTCCTCCAATCATTAACTGACGGCCATCGATATGTATTATACTTCGAGGCTCTCTGGCTTGAATTTCATATACGTATCAATGCATACGGTGAATTTGGGATCGTTGTCAACGATCTAAGAGAAAACGGAGTAAATGTCTTGTCAAGAAAAGATTCTTGGGATAGTAGTAGCCATTATTTAGCCGTTATTTTCTCTAGAATCTTATCTAGGTAAACAGGTACGGAATACCGTGTTGATCGTTGAGAGATGTTGCAAACGAGGTGGGGGACAAAGGAGCAGGTATGATTGGCGAGGTTAGGCAGCGAGGTGATCACAGCAGGCGAGCGGAAGGTGGAAGACGAACAATCAAGTGTTACACTGCCATGCAAAATGCAAGTGGTGTTCGAATGAGAATGGTGTACGGATGTTTTTTTTCTCCAAAAAAAGTGAGGCTTGCTTGGCTACTACGCATTCAGATTTTCAGCTATATATCAGGAGAATCGGATCGAAAGCGGCTATCACAATTGCTATTATGCCGCTCATATTTCTGCTCCAACAAATTTCTAAGTCTCACATCTGCTCAACAATTTGATAAAGCAGTGTCTGATGGGTGTTTTCATGAGCGTGCTTTCAAGCATGCTACTATCGGTCGAAGGCTGCAACTGAGCAAGAAACTCCGTCAATTCATCCGATCCTTTGTTGACGTATACACTTTTTGTCATAAAATAATCAAGATGTGTTTTGATCAGCTTTTTTCGTGGCATTTGGGGAGAATAATATCAAAACTGCGCTCAGTGAAGCGCATTACACTTTGAAAAGTGGACCCGTTTTGTTCAAAAGTGGCCATTTTGACATGATATCCTACTTTGGAAACAGAAATCTGTGATATAAATAAAATTTTATTCATAGGTTCCCTTATCTTATCTAGAAAACTACATGTGGATTTTCTGAAGCTATAAAGTCACACTGCTGCCTCTGGAAGGAAAAAGGGGGGACAGTGAGGGTAGGATCATCTGAGTCCAATTTCGTCAAATTCAGTATAAACGCAAAGTTCCTGTCTTATTCTTGAAACCCTGTCCAAGAATAGGACAGGTCCTTTGTGAATGAAATTTCTATGTCCTTTTCTATTGATGTCTCAATGCTTGGAGTAAGATGTTAAGCAGATACCTTTCTTCCTCCCTTGGAGGATTTTTTTGACGTATTTTCCATACACTATGGATGCTTGTCCAAACAGCAAGAACTGGTCAGACAATTACGGAACACATCAGTGCTCGATACTGCCACAACATCCCGAACTTCTCATGAACTCAGTGTTGAGTGGGTGCATAGTAACTAAAGAAAAAATAACAACGTTAAATAAAAATTATGGTGAAAATGTAGTTAGGAAGGGGGCGGTTGGGCAATATTGAGCGCTAGAGCGTAAGCAAGTGGGGGTAGCAAAAATTCGAGCTCTTAATGGTGTTTAGGAAAGTTCCTTAGCCGATGAAATACAGTTTTTTTTCTTACATGAAGAGAGTTCCTTAGGAGTAAGAGAGTACGGGGTGGGTGATTCAAATGACTATTCTTTTTTTACCTATCTCAACTTTTTGCACGTGGTTGTCATCTCATAGGCCCCACTGCTTCTTATGTTTGGATAAAACTATATTTCTTTGGCTAAGA